GCTTTACTTTATGGTAGTTATCTTCATATGAATTACGTTTTTACAAGTTGTGCTTTGTAATCGATCCAGGACCTGGAGACGTTCTATCTAATAACAACTACGTAACATGTGACACACATTGATTTATGACGAGGGTAGTGTTGAGGGGGTTCGCATCTGCTCTTTTCCCCAGCACACATTAAGACTACAAAACCAGGACTTTATTGGATTACAGAAGTACTGAATCTTTCCTCGGTAAGTCTTTTTGTCGTTGTGTGTAACCCTTGTATGGTAACAAAACTATTATTACAGATACCAATTTGCATGACTTGTCGACATTAATTAAAATAAATTAACATATTTCATCATAAAATATAAGACTGCACAGGTCCATTATATTTGTTTTGAAACACAACTGAATGTGTTGATAGATATAAGATTCATGTTGACGGCGATAGACATGAAATAGTGACATGAATCAAATTATATAAAATAATAGTAATTCCGTTGGATGCCACATACGGTGCAGACAAAGGCGTATGTGATCTTTCTGAGGAAACATACCTATAGATTACTTTTACTGTGGTGTTCCTACTGTTCATATTGTTTCTGTACGAACGTGTCCAATGTTACATTAGTAGCTATGTTATCTTTTCTTTCCTTATACATTGTTATTGTCTCTGTACGAACTTGTCCAATGTTACATCAGTAGCTATGATATCTTTTATACATTGTTATTGCTTCTGTACGAACGTGTCAAATGTTACATCNTATCTTTTCTTTACTTGTTCATTGTTATTGTTCCTGTACGAACGTGTCCATTGTTACATTAGTAGCTATGTTATCTTTTCTTTACTTGTTCATTGTTATTGTTCCTGTATGAACGTGTCCAATGTTACATTAGTAGCTATGTTATCTTTTCTTAACTTGTTCATTGTTATTGTTCCTGTACGAACGTGTCCATTGTTACATGAGTAGCTATGTTATCTTTTTTTTACTTGTTCATTGTTATTGTTCCTGTACGAACGTGTCCATTGT